TCCATTAAAATCAGCTTTATTCAAGTTTGACAGAAAAATGGTTCAAAAATATCCTCTCAGTGTGAATATGAGAAGAAATATACTAGAAGTGGTGGTTCTCAACTGGTGGTTGGGACCCCAGGAGGGGGTCGTGGAGCTGTTTCAGCGGGTCGTGAAGGTGTGCATGGAAAGGAGTTTTTTTTTAAACTTTTATTCACAAGGAGAGAGTCGGAAAGCGGGGGAGAGAGAGAGAGAAGCCACAGGTCGGACTTAAACCGGGACGCCCGCATGGAGGACTACAGCCTCTGAACATGGGCGTGACCTAACCGCTAGGCATCTGCGCCCCTCAACTGCTTTTTAAACATGTTTTTATTTTCTATTTCTGTGATCTGTCACGTGTTTCTGTTCATTCTGAAGTCCAAACTGAACTTTCTGATACGCTATAAGTATCAGAACTTTGGGTCACATGTTTTCATGAAGGAGTTGATGGCGGGTCCTGAACCGGACCAGCAGAGACCCACAGATCTAGAAGGCTTAGAGTGAATCCTCCTCTGGTTACTGACGACCAGGAACATTTAGAGAGTTTAATTGTGATAATGAAGAAGACTTGATTCTATAGCCTTTTAATACCTAATTATTCATTATTGTTAAAGTTTCCATCAGTCTGTACTGATCTAAACTTCAGTCCTGTACTGATCTGGACTGAACATTCAGTCTGTACTGATCTAAACATTCAGTCTGTACTGATCTGGACTGAACATTCAGTCTGTACTGATCTAAACATTCAGTCTGTACTGATCTGGACTGAACATTCAGTCTGTACTGAGCTGAACATTCAGTCTGTACTGATCTGAACATTCAGTCTGTACTGATCTGAACATTCAGTCTGGACTGATCAAACATTCAGTCTGTACTGATCTGAACATTCAGTCTGTACTGATCTAAACATTCAGTCTGGACTGATCTAAACATTCAGTCTGTACTGATCTGAACATTCAGTCTGTACTGATCTGGACTGAACATTCAGTCTGTACTGATCTAAACATTCAGTCTGTACTGATCTGAACATTCAGTCTGTACTGATCTGAACATTCAGTCTGTACTGATCTGAACATTCAGTCTGGACTGATCTAAACATTCAGTCTGTACTGATCTGAACATTCAGTCTGTACTGATCTAAACATTCAGTCTGTACTGATCTGAACATTCAGTCTGGACTGATCTGAACATTCAGTCTGTACTGATCTGAACATTCAGTCTGGACTGATCTAAACATTCAGTCTGTACTGATCTGAACATTCAGTCTGTACTGATCTGAACATTCAGTCTGGACTGATCTGAACATTCAGTCTGTACTGATCTAAACATTCAGTCTGGACTGATCTGAACATTCAGTCTGTACTGATCTGAACATTCAGTCTGGACTGATCTGAACATTCAGTCTGTACTGATCTGAACATTCAGTCTGTACTGATCTGAACATTCAGTCTGGACTGATCTGAACATTCAGTCTGTACTGATCTAAACATTCAGTCTGGACTGATCTAAACATTCAGTCTGTACTGATCTGAACATTCAGTCTGGACTGATCTGGACTGAACATTCAGTCTGTACTGATCTGAACATTCAGTCTGTACTGATCTAAACATTCAGTCTGGACTGATCTGGACTGAACATTCAGTCTGGACTGATCTGGACTGAACATTCAGTCTGTACTGATCTGAACATTCAGTCTGGACTGATCTGGACTGAACATTCAGTCTGTACTGATCTAAACATTCAGTCTGTACTGATCTGGACTGAACATTCAGTCTGGACTGATCTAAACATTCAGTCTGTACTGATCTGAACATTCAGTCTGTACTGATCTGGACTGAACATTCAGTCTGGACTGATCTAAACATTCAGTCTGTACTGATCTGGACTGAACATTCAGTCTGTACTGATCTAAACATTCAGTCTGGACTGATCTGGACTGAACATTCAGTCTGGACTGATCTAAACATTCAGTCTGTACTGATCTGAACATTCAGTCTGGACTGATCTGGACTGAACATTCAGTCTGTACTGATCTAAACATTCAGTCTGTACTGATCTGAACATTCAGTCTGGACTGATCTGGACTGAACATTCAGTCTGGACTGATCTGGACTGAACATTCAGTCTGTACTGATCTGAACATTCAGTCTGTACTGATCTAAACATTCAGTCTGGACTGAACATTCAGTCTGTACTGATCTGGACTGAACATTCAGTCTGTACTGATCTAAACATTCAGTCTGTACTGATCTAAACATTCAGTCTGTACTGATCTAAACATTCAGTCTGTACTGATCTGGACTGAACATTCAGTCTGTACTGATCTAAACATTCAGTCTGTACTGATCTGGACTGAACATTCAGTCTGTACTGATCTAAACATTCAGTCTGGACTGATCTGGACTGAACATTCAGTCTGTACTGATCTAAACATTCAGTCTGTACTGATCTGGACTGATCTGGAGTGAACATTCAGTCTGTA